CAGCAGGAAAAAATCTTGCATTACCAGATGCATTAAGTAGAAACAGGCCACCAGAACTACTTACACGGAAAACTACAATTGAAATACCAAAAAATACAAAATTCTATCTCGCAAAAGACGAAACATCACCCCGATTAGAGTGAAAATATGCAGTAAAAACCGACATTGATCAATCACAAATAAATAATCTACAAAATTTTCCGCTTTAACTAAATTGTCAAAACAATCACTACGAAGTTTATTTAATAAGAACATCCACAATTAAACCTATTCCATATTCACATTGAACAAAAAACAATACCCAACAAAAGAAAACAAAACAACAACCACACAAAAAAGATCCTTTCCCTTTAACAGAAAAAAAATCTAACTGATAAATTAAATTTATGAGGACCACCAACAAATGACCCAAATTACACAGTGAATCAAGTTTTTGATCTTCATGACCCACTCGATACAATTCCACTATCAAAAATAGAAATAGAAAGTATTTTTTACCACCAACAGAAAAAGTTACACTACAACTATTACAAAAATACCAGAACCTTGACCCTGTCATCAGACAACTCAAATCATGGCACAAACTTAAAACTAAACCAACAAAAGCTGATACTACAATCTTAGGAAATAAAACACTCCTCCGATATTTCAGAAAATTTAACAAAACAACTATAAATGAAAACACAGATCTTTTAGAAAATCAATTAACTGATTCTAAAGTCCCCTGTCTCCCTTTAAGTATGATGTTGATAGCATTCAACATATCTCAAACACAAAATACCAAAGGACACTCAGAATCAGAAAAAAATATTCAAATTTTACACAAAATTTCTACTTTCCAAATGCCCCAAACATTGAAAGCAGGCATTTGAGAATGTGCGAACCTGAATGGGCGCTAAATTTTATCCACTAGTGTAGAAACACAAAATTAATAGTTGAGCAAGATTTCTTAATTACTATCTAGACAAGCAGAGAAAACTAATTCTTGTACATTATACTAATCATGCCGAATGTAGGCGCAGCGGAGCAAGCAGTCGCTACTTGCTAATGCCGCTTTTCAAATGAATTTCAAATTTTGCCAGTTGTTGCTTTCCATGAAGTTTGTCAGTTGTCTTTCGCAGCGAGCAGAATGAATAAAAATCGATAAAAGTTTACATTTGTTTCCTTGAAACAGATTTTTGATACTTCCAAAGGTCTATTTCCGAAGGTCTTTAATGTAAAAAGATTATTGATTTAGGAGAATTAATTTTTCACTGCACAATTTTCAACAACGATTGTTTTAAACAATTGTTCAAAAATTTATTAGGGTCGACAAGCTCCAGTTTTTTTGCTAGCCATAGAACAACATTTTTAAATGCTGCATCATTCACAATGGATTGTCGTATTGTTCAAACCCGGAAAATATTATCGATATATAATTGCTACAATAAAACTGGTATACAAAAATGATTTACGCATCTCTGTTTATGAGTTGTCGCGCCTTGATTTACACTTGCTTGTTTTATTAACGGTCACTGACCAATCAATGTGTAAGCTGTTTTCGTTTTTTGTTCAATAAAAGCAACGAAACTATCTCATTAGAAATCACAACATGCTGCTTTGCTTTGTTCCTCGCGCGAAAACGCTGGATCTCTAAATTCTCTTCGAATTGTTCGTTTTACTTAGATTAGATAGTACCTCTGGGTTCCTTATGTTGTTCCTTAAGGTTACTTTTGAAGTCCTAAATGGGTCAAAACATAGAAATTGAATTTAGGCTCTAACTTAGGCTTTTAGTTCCTCCAACTACAGATTTTTATAATGTTCTAGCAATTTTCAAATTTCCAATTGAATTGAACCATGTACATCGGGTAGGCAGAGTAAAAAAGGAAACCAAGCAATGTAACGCTTCCGAAACAAATTGATCACGCTCCAACAAATAACCTGATTTTCATTCCTTTTTACTGAAAAAAAATTTAAGAAAGTTGGAATATATTTACCCTAAAGCACATCAAAATGGTCCATATGAAATCAAGCACATAGATAAGTTAATATTTCACTATAATCAATTGAATAATATATCTATATCTAGAATTTTCTCGATGAGGTGGGGGCGGATTTTAAAAAAATGAAAATTTGTCGACTTTTTTAAGTCGACCAATTTGATGTTCTGATCTCTACCAAATCACAATAAAGACCCTTTTTAGGCTAAATGTTTTAGGCGAACTTTTTTAAAAAAAGGCGTTTTAAGCATTTTAGAAAATTTTGACCAAAAAGGGTTTTTCGGCGCGCGCTCCCCTCGCAAAATAATTTATTTTGGCGCCGAGAGCGCATTCAGAAAAATTTTAAGGTCAGTCAGCAAAAATGGATATCTGGTAATAGTACAAAAGAGGACCTTTTGGGTCGGCAGGGGGTTGAATCCCTTACGGGGGGGGGCGTACCACCTCCCCTAAATCCGCTGGTGATCCATATACATTTTTTATATACACATACTAATATTTCGAATTCGATTTTCGGCATTTTTTGTACACAATATTTTCAAGCAGGATGCTTAGTTCTTTCTTGAAGCTAGTTTTCACAATTGTTGATCAAAGAAACAACGAAGGTAACGGAGATTAACAAAAAACCCATAGAAACTTATTCGTGTTTTCTGTTGATTTGTTTTCAGAAATAAAAAAATTTAAAGAACATAGAGAAAAAAGTTTACGAAGAACCTTTTCTCCTACTCTTATGTTTTGAAGTTTGAAGTTGAAATACGAAGCAACCAGCCGAAGTATTCATGAAATTAAAATGCATAGAGTTGTTTTTGCAGCGAAATCGGAGTGGAATTGAAAGTTATAAACCAAATTTCGGAAAATGTTTGTCCAAACTTTCAATTGCACACCGATTTTGCTGCAAAACTTTTGAAAACGGTTTGATGCTAACGAAGGCTGGAAAACATATATCTTTTGAACGACCAAAACAAACTCAAACGCAAAAGCGAAAAACAATTCCAAAAAAACAACAAGGCCACTTCCAGATTCGGTGTCCCACTCTTTAACCCCTTATATTTACACGCCCTATATTATAACCCCGTAACATGATAACCCGACAACAATTTAACCCCTTTTAATGACGATAATTTGTTTCAAATTAAGTCCTTTTTATAAGTACAGGAGTAGTCCAATTAAGTTAACTAATTGAGGCCTGAAAAGCTAGTCTTAATTCACTTGATGCCTCTAGCGTATCAAAAATAATTGCATTTCGATAAGATAGAGGAATAATCCCTCACTCACGCGTTTAAAACAGAGATAACCTCTTTGGTGCTAATTGAAGGCAACAAAAGACTTTGTGAGTTTTATATAAAAAATCAGACTGTCTATTTCTTTTACCATTGTTATACCACTCCATCAGATCAAATGGGAAATAGGAAATTCCCACGATGTTTACCGACGATATGAACCGAATCCTTTTCAAGTAAGTTTCACTTTGATTCTAACAATTGGTTTTAAAAAAGGGTTAAGTTGTATTGGGGTTATCTAATTTCAGGGTTATATGAGAGTGGGTTAAAAAAAGGGGGCTACAAAACACGGGGTGATAAGCTTGGGAGCCCCAGATTCGAGCAGAGAATGTGGTTTGTTTCAGCGGATGTAGCTCAGGTTGTTTTAATATTTGAGTCAGAGGCGAAACGGAGCTTCGCATGACTTGCACTAGAACAAAAAATGCTATAATCCAAATTTAACGAACTTTTATATGCGAGTTAGGTTAGAAAAAACCAAGTTCGCACTAATACACTTCACTCAAAAACGTAATAACGAGCGTTGCTCGATCGCGTTACTCGCTTGAAACTAGACTAAATCTCCATAACTTTCAAACCAGTTTTTCTCGTGACCTAATGGTCGGAACAAAAAACTGTCATCGGTTAAAAGTAAAATAAAACTTATATATCACGTTAAAAGTATATCTACCGAACGTTCAGAGATAAGATCAAGCAAAATTTTTCCAATTCAAGGATCGAACATATGAGCGGACAAAATTCCATTGAAGCTTATTCTCCTATGATGCTAACAAAGCCTTGTTGCATAAATCTCTACTCAGAACGACTTTAAAGCAGTTTGCAGACGACATAGCTTGAACGTGAAAAAATCTTTCGTTAAAAACGCAAAAAAAACTGCTGCAGTCACTTGAAAGTAACTGCAGTCACTTGAAACTGCTGCATTCACTTGAAAGTAACAACTGTAGCATTTGAAAGTAGCAGTACTTGAAAGTACCTCAGCACTCAAGTACCACATTGGTAAGAAAATTCGTCTACGCGAAAAAAAAATCAAAACTCCCGATTACACAAACACTTGCTCTCGCAAGTGAAAAAAGCTATTTAGCCTGACACTTATTTTAAAAATTTCAACGCCCCGACATCGCGCGATTTCGGTTGAAAAAAAGTGTGATTATAAAACTATATTTTTAATTTCTAAGTTAAGATATAAGTGAGAGTAGACTAATTCCATTCCTTTCGTTCCTTTATGTTCATGGAATATAATTGCAGTACAAATATGGCTTCAAAGGTTGCTTCAGTGGGCTTGAGAAAAAACTAGAGATCATATAGAAGAATGCACAAAAACAAGTATTACCGATTAGATTCAATCATCTTCGATCAGAAAGGTCAAAATTGCATTTAAAGTTTATGAATAATTTTAGTTGTTCAATGTCACTTTTTCAGTCTTTAAAACACTGCCTGTTTGATTGAGACTAGTTTCAATTGAAATAATTAATTGTCCCAAGGCAATAAAAAAAATCAATTTTGACCCAGAGTTTTGAACTAATTTCTAGCACGAATACAATCTAATAGTAAGAAGCACATGTTTAGAGCACTTATGTTCTCACAGCACACTAAAACTGAATAGCTTTGAACAATAATTTAAACTAACCTTCGCTTATGCAACTTGACTTGTGCTATTAAATGGCTCAATTTGCTTCTTATACTATAGCTTTAAACGTTCGAAATTTCGGTTCAATTTTTTAAGGTTAATTGTTTCGAGTCATTTTGGACATTTAATTGTCTAATTTAAAGATTTTTTGAAGCGAATTGAGCTGAACTTTGGTCGAATTGAAACCTCGAGGTTGAGGTGCTCAACAATGAGCACCGATTGCATCAGCCAATTCTAAATTAATGGTCAAGTTCACCGTTTGCATGATCGCCATTTACCTTTCGTCACTAGGGTGGAAATGTTTGTTATATCATGTGGTTTGGTTATTGTGATTGGGTGTATCATCGGTTATTTTAAAATATTCACTCGAATTCACGCTCTAGTCAATTCACAGACATCATTTGTACAGATTAAATAGTGGCAAAATCCATGGCATGGAAAAAGTTATTCTCGTTTCGAGTCCGTGACGAAGACCTGTGAGGCCTGCTGGACTGTTTCGGCTTCACTTCAGATACATTATTGGTAGTGCTCTGGTTGTTATTGCGTCTACTGTGGCTGGCAGTTAGAGCATAGCTCTGGTTAGTGGGGTTGTTTATATCTAGACTACTGAAACTGGTGGATATTCTGTCACCTGAGAAAGTGTCTTCCAGGCCGAACCCACTTTGGGATCCAGGCCAGGAACTTGCGCAACACTCGACAACAACTGTCGGCTGACCGGCGCGTCTTCTTCCATTTGGGTCTCGTATTGTGTTTACCGACGATGTGCAAGTTAAACTCTGAGATGATGCCGCGGCTGATGTTGCCGCCGCAGTATTAACAGCAGCGACACTTGGGATTGGAATTGGCGAACTGCTCGGACCAGCCGAGAAGTTTTGTTGCAAGTTTGTTGAGGAGCCCCCGACTGGACTCCGAGTGCGAGTTGTCGACGTTCCTACCGTACTGGATCTGTCGGATGTTCTTGTAGATGTCACAGTCTTCGCTTGTTGTCCCGGAGGTGCCACCCAGGATAGTAGCACCGTGATGTCATCTGGTTTTCCCCCTGTGATGTTGAGTCCCGCCTCCAGACGTGCGAGTTTGCTGAAGGGGGAACTGTAGTGGGGATCCTGAGAAAACTTCCTCGCTTTGGTAGCCAGTCGCTCAACCGTGTCGCGCAACAGGTTCTCATCAGGAGGCTGAAAAAAAATCAGTCAAACAAAAAACTCCACAAAGCAAGATCCACACTGTACTATGCAATTATCGGACGTCTTAATTTTCTGAAATAGTTCTGACCTTGACACAGTGAAACAGAAGAAAGAACACTTCAGTTTAAAAATTCTTTTTACATAAATTAACAAAAAAAGATCGAAAGTCAACATACACCTGGGAAAGAACTCCTCCTCCAAAACTGAGCTACAGCTGTTCACAAAGTGGCTTTCATTCAAGCTAAAGCCGACAGAAATTCAATTGGTTCCCTAAAGTAACACCACCCATAAATTGCGCGTTAACCATTCTGTACCATGCTGATATTGTGAAACAGAATTGAAACCGCAAACAAATTTTACAGAGGCGAAGTTGCACTTCGCATACACAAGCAAAAACACCACCGATAACGCTACTGGGAAAAACTGAATGCTTAAAACTTTGAGTCTACAAAATTTTCTAAGTGACCCACGCCAATTATGAGTCTACATAATTGCTAAGTGACACAAGCCAATTATGACGCATAAGCAGTACCAGTCAACTTGGAAAAAATTTCATTAAAAACATCCAACCCTGACCAGGTTCGAACCCTCTTATTTTGTTGCTTGTCTCCTTCCCTACTTCTACGCTACAGATCCATGATAACTTGAAGCTGAAGTGTTATTTGTAATATAATAGTCTGTGTTAATATCCTTAGCATTGGCTGTACTTGAACACTTTCAACATGAACACTTTCAAAAATGAACACTTTCAACATGAACACATTTGTTGCAAGTATATTTGCGCCGCAAAAATATGTGCGACTTAGGTTCGAAAAGAAAAGAGTTCATACTATAACACAAGCTTCGCTTGTATAAAAATTGCATTTGAACTGTCAAAAGAGCAAACCAAAATAAATGCGCTTTTTAGAGGTCAGATTATTTGAATATCTTCAAATCCTTAACTTCAAAACAATTTTCATTCAGCAGCAATCCAACATTGGATTTTTCAATAGAAACGAACACATGAAATGCCGGCAAAAAGGCAAACACGAAACTTCAAAGAACTATTTCTAACGAAATTTCAAAGAACTATTTCTAAGGTCAGAATTAATTGTACAAAGATACAATACCAAATTAATGGCAATATCGGTGACCTTGAGCAATTAAATCGGCCAAAAAAAGAGCATTTTATTTAGAGGTCAGATTATTTGAATTTAGAGGTCAGATTATATGAATATCTTCAAGCCCTTAACTTCAAAACAATTTTCGTTCAGCAGCAACCCAACATTAGATTTTACAATAGAAACGAACACATAAAATTCCGGCAAAAAGGCAAACACGAAACTTCAAAGAACTTTTCCTTAACTTCAAAACAATTTTCATTCAGCAGCAATCCAACACTAGATTTTTCAATAGAAACGAACACATAAAATGCCGACAAAAAGGCAAACACGAAACTTCAAAGAACTACAGTGCTGATTTAAATTAACCGGACAAAACGCGTTTAACTTGAAATTTAAAACGCGTTTTTCTCAAATTGGATTGAGTTTAGGTGAAAACTTATGAAGACAAAACTTGCTTAAAATTTTAGCAGAATTAATATGGTGTAATTTGTTTTGCAAAATTCGGTCCCGAAATTTTACCCCAAAAATGGGTCATTTTGGCTTTTCTTAGCTTATCAAAAATTACGCCGAAAATACCTGGCCGATCACAGACATAGTTATACCAAAGTGAGCCCCTTACGTAGCCCAACAAACTTTAAAAAGGGTATATTCTCCAAAAAAAATTGCAAATTGTTTAAAAATTGTTTTTAAACAAAAAGTTGGCATTTTATATAGTAAAAACGAACTTTTTTGCCTATCAAACAAAAATAAATTAACTTAAACAATGTTTTGGAGAATATACCCTTTTTAAAGTTTGTTGGGCTACGTAAGGGGCTCACTTTGATATAATTATGTCTGTGATCGACTGGGTATTTTTGGCGTAATTTTTGATTAACTTAGAAAAGCCAAAATGGCCCATTTTTGGGGTAAAATTTTGGGCCCGAATTTCGCAAAACAAATTACACCATATTATTTCTGCTAAAATTTTTAGCAAGTTTTGCCTTCATAAGTTTTCTCCTAAACTCAATACAAGTTTTCTCCTTAACTCAAAGGTCAGAATTATTTGTAAAAAGATACAATGCCAAACTGATGGCAATATCGGTGACCTTGAGCAATTAAACCGGTCAAAAACTATAGCAATTTAGGTTAATTAGTTTTATTTGGACACGCTTTTTGCATGTGGAAATCAGAGACCAAAATGAGCAGTTTTAGGTTAATTAATTTTGTTCAGATTTGTTGACCGAAAAGTTGAAGGACAAATCATGTACATAGTTACTAGCATCAGTTCTAGATGAATCCGTGAATACATCATAGATTTAGTGACTGAATGAATAAAACGAAGTGATTGGTGATGTTGGTACCTTTCTGTGGAGCGAGTGCAGCTCGTTGAGAATGTGTGAGTCAGCGAGGTTGTCGAACAGTCCGTCTGTGGCCACCATCACAATGTCTCCCACCTGCAGCTGAAACCTCTCCTCGCTACAGTCCCCCACCCTGTCAAACACATTTAAAACCATAAAAACCAACCAAAATAGAGCCAAGGAAAACTGTCTATTGAACACCAACAGTAGCCTTTTAACTAATTGCGTTTAATAATGCATAATAATTTAACCCTCTCCGACTTCTAATTTACAGAAACATTCTAAGCTGAAGCATAACGCACTGATCAAAAATGACAATACGGAACCAACACTGAAGCAAAATGGTTTTTTAAGTAATGTCTGTTTAAAATTTTGTTCCATCTACAATTTTTTCAGGCAAAATAAATTAGCACCGATAAACGTCAGCTGGGTTTAAGTAAATTTAATTATAAAGCCCTTTCACTTGTGAATCGATCGATTTTTAAAAACTTCCAAAACGTTGTCTTTACTTTTAAACAAATTTAGAGTAAAGAGCTGATGATGAATTTTTCAATCTCTACTTTATGTATCTAAAAAATGCGTTATACGGAAATTTAGGTGTTTTCAACTTGTTCACGAAGCTGCTTACATCTCCCTCCACATCGCCGAAAAACAGTGCGTTTTTTGAAAATAGTTTTTTTTAACATTCTTTTTGCAAAAAGAACTGTGCTCATAACTTAATGTGCTACTTAGACTGCAGCCGTCAACTCAAGCGCCAATTTAAAACTGAAATAATATACGTACCAAAATTTTTATTACAAAAATGTTGTTAAAAAAGACACAATTTAAATGGCAAAACCTCATCAATTGATTACAATGAGTAATAACGTACAACCAATTATCAATTTTGAAAAAAAAATTAATCAAGGATCTCTTACTACAAAAAAATGTGATCCGAAAACTCCGATATGACCTAGATCAAAAACGTAAACGCAGTCTTTATTCACTAAAAATCACGTGCCATAGTCATAGTCAACAGACATTTGGAAACAGAGCCCAGGAACGCAAGTAAGCCGAACAAAAACTAATTATCTTTAAAAAAATCTATTGAATTTCAAAGAAGAACAAAGATAGCCTTAAAGCTCTTCGAATTTCTAGAACAATTGCAGCCGACCAAAAAAGTGTTTATGATTGATATTTTTTTTGATAAAATCAACCCTAATTGTGAGAAAACTGGATCAATGTTATTTTTTAATTATAAATCTGATAAATAAATACCATTTCAGAATTTAGATGTCAAAATCTGTTCGGTAGAGGAGTTAACATTTGTTTTATCAAACGAAAACAACTGATCTTAAAAATCAAAAGCCAAACTGCAAAAACCAAACTCCTAAAAAAAAAATCACCACGACTTCTATAAGAAATTTAACTACGTTCATACTCTTTATTAAAAAAACTGTCTCCAATTGTACCACTGCAGGATATCAACGAAACTTTTTTTAAACCTAGGTGAACTATAAATTTCGGTTTGGTGGAGGTATTTCGTAGTTCAGGAATCCAAAATTTAACAAGTCGCTAGAAATGCACAATCATTCTTTTTATGAAAGGGAAAGTTTAGATTATTTTATTGATTTAAAAAATGCACCGATGGGTTAAATGCGACTGGACATCACCCTTAGGGTTATTATATCTGTAGAAATTATTGATCTTCCAAAATCTTCTAGCTTTCGAATATAGCAATTTTGATACTTTTTTTGATATTTTATAAAACTTTTATTATACTTATGAACTTTTATTATACTTTTATTATATTTTTGAATTTTACCGAAAAAATGCTCCTAAAGCTCCTTGAATTTCAAGAACAATTTATGATTGGTGCTTTTTTTTTAAATTAACCGAATTTAAAAAACTGGATCAATAAGTAAATCTTTAATTTCGCACTGAAATCTGAAATTTTATGCCACTTTCGAAACTAGAAGTCAATCACGTTTTTCGTGACTTTTACACTTTTGCTGTTCGATAGAGGAGTTTGATTTCATTTTCACTAATCAAAAGTCAAACCGCGAAAAATCAAAAATGAGCGTGATCAGATTTTAAGATTTAAGAACAACAAAAATCATCAAGACCTATTTAAAATAAAATAACTTCGTTCTTTTACACTTTTAAGAACCAAAAACATACTCAACAGAAGTCAGCATCCACTTTTCATGAAACCAAGCCAAAAAAAATAGCCAAGTGTCAGTTTGAAGTCACAAAAACTTGGACGCAATTTGCCCCAAATTTCGCAATAGATTTCAAATTCTTACGAATTTTTTTGTTTAATTTTTACATAAATTATACAACTTGTAGGGGCAGACGCTTAGTTGATCCTAATATCCCCTGATCTGTCCTCTCCATGTTTCAGAATATTGTATCTTTATTTTTGTTAGAGAAATACATTCTTTGTTTCTTTCCAAGAGCTAGTTAAAAATCAAAATATATTTAAAAAATGCGGCGAACAAAGCTAGCTCTTCTCTGTAATATAAGTATCCAATTCTTTCGCTTGCAATGGTTATCAATGGTTTTAATTAAAAAGCTTAGAAAACTATATGAACGATTCAGGCAAGTCTAAAATATGCAATTGTCACAAAAACAACGGACATTATTTGCACCCCTAAAACTTAGAAATATCCAGCCACTTGTTTTTACTACAGCATGGATTTCATTTCATCAATCAGGTCAATTTTTAATTGACTTGAATAGGGCAAGAAAACGGAAGCGTTGTGGGAAATGGCATACTGACAAAGTGCTGCTAAATACTATCGAAGCTATTGTCCTACGAGATTGAAACACTCACTAATTTAACTAATTCTGGAGGTCTTTGAAAAATTTAACATCTGACAATAGATTGATTCAATCTGGAACGATTGCGTGTCAATGGCATGAAAATCAAAAAATTCCCTAATGGCTTGTCTTCCATGCAACTGTTGCAATGAGACTATTTTCAAGATGAAAATTTTGTGAACAAGGTAAAAAAATTTCTCATCACATATAACCAATTCCTTAGTAAAAGTATCAGATTTGCGAAATGAGCCAAATTGAGATTGTTAAAAAAGGCACGAGGTGATAATTTAAAACATGACTGATACTTAAAAAATCAACAAAACTACAAACAAACTCATTTTTTCTCCTATAATGCGACTGAATGAAAATTCGTTGACTTATATTAATGGATAAATTCGCCGATTTCACAATTCTTTATACTAATCATCACAAAAATCTTACTTGAAAACCTAATAAAAAAGATAATTGCACCAAGTTTTTCAAAAATTCACTGCGAGAAGGCTTTTACGATTTTTTAAATTGCACTATGATTCATCAAGGTTGTTGATTCAACTATTGATTTGAGTACATGTATTTCGAAAAAACTTGGTTCCACCAATTTCCACGAAAATTTCACAACGTTTATAACGACATTGGACACTCAGAACAAACGAACGAGTAAACGGCAAAAGTGTGTAGTCAAAATGGAACAAAACTTGAAAATAAAAACTTCCTTTAGACCTTCAAATCTTTAAGATTCTAGGCTAATGTTTTTCGGCGAAAAACGCAAACCCAAAACGCAATGGTTAGCAACATAAAGCAGATGGCCAAAGCCTAAAGACTCGACATTGTCGATTATTGGTAGAGTATTTCAAAAATCTGCCAAAATTGGTAAAAGTTAGATTTTAGTTTGGTCTAATGCATATTCGGGTTATCTCATATTGCAGTAACTCAAGATCTACCGCGGTTTTCCATAAGTCAATATTTCAAAAATAATGGCATTTAAAACTTTCTTGAAATGTTTATAGCAATTATGAACAATGCCATTTGAGCCGTAATCTTTTTTGATACCCTTTTCCAGCAATCCAAGTTGTGGTTTTTGTGGGAGACCATCAAATTGGTGTGGTGCTATGAAAAAAATGAACCAATTATATGTCCGGAAAAATGAGAATCGGATCTAGGCAGGGGGCTACAAAAGCTCGACAAAATGTTGCATCATTTTTAAACCTCCTTCGGAAAAATCACAGATCTGCGCCTGTCTGTAACCGTAACAAATAGTAACTCACACTCAGTGTGTGTGTGTGGGGGGCCTAGGAAATTAGACAAGAAATAAAACAAATTTCACGCAAGTAAATGTCTAAATTCCATCATTTTCTGATCGTCTAATTTGCTTGTCGTCTAATTTCCTAAACTCCGTGTGCTTGTATGCTTGATTTGATTGTGCACTAGTGTTTAGAGTGTTACCTGTCGCTGAGTATGCCCCCCGCCGCTTCTCCTGGTACAGGTGGGGGCAGCATGGCCAGTTGGAAGGGGGTGTTGAAGAAGTGCTGCTGCACGGCTGTCCTGTGGACTATGTTGCCCCCTCTCACCACCAGACAGCCGGAGTCGCCCAGATTAGCAGAGTAGAGAGTGTTCCTCAGTCGTTCCAGTACCACAATACACACTGTGCTACTGCCAACTAAACACCATGCGAACATATAGAGACGAACAACCAAGCAGTCAGTATATTGGAACAATCAGGAATATTTATGTAAATCATATTTAGCTAGTATTAAGGATTCATCAGATTAAAGTAAAAGCAAGGCCCTAATTAAGTAGCACAGAAGAAAAAATAAACCAACAAAAAATATCTGAAAACGGCTAATTCAAATTTTTCTAGGTTGGATGGGTTTTCACAAAAAAACAGGCTTCTACTTCTATTGTTTAGATTACATAAGTAATTATATCGAAACATCACGAAAGCCATAAATACGTCTATAAATTATAAATTCTTTCGAAGCGTCGAATCCGCTTTGAAAAATTAGTTTGCGAATTGAAAAATCACCGAACGCCAAAAATCTCTCCCCGCGATATTTCTTAAATAGTTAGTAGCTATCAAAAGCCAACTCTTCATCATGATTGAACGAATTTTATCAAATTGTAGTATTTTACAAACGTGTACTACCCTTTTTAGAGAAAAATCACAAATCTCTTCTACAAGAAAACCTTTCACTTTTTAATCACCAAAATTATGCATGCTCAATAGCTTTGTTGTTGATTTTTGAAAATTGACATGTAGATAAATGATTTAAAACTACTCGTTTTTCAAAAATGAGACAAAAGCAAGTAAAAAAATGCCTAGTTAAAACATTTCGAATGCTAGATCCGCCAAATTTTTTTTATCCATATTGCCTGAATGAAGTCCAACCTTAGGTTAAAATGACAAGAAAACCCATTTTTAACGTCTAAGTAGTATGGAAGCCAAAAAAAGCGCCATTTTAGTAAACAATACTTGTCCGAGCGCGCGTAGAAAAAAAACGGTAGTCAAAAAACTTCGAGTCATAAAGCATTAGGAAGTTTTATGCGCCCCCACAAAAAGCACACACGCCCATGAAACAAATTTCGCTTTTCGAAAAAGCAATAGGAGGAGACTATGTCGATATAACATAAGGAGAAACTTTTGAAGGCAAATAACCATTTTCAGCCAAACAATTGAAATTACAAAAACATCGTAGTTGGTAAATTTTCGAGCAACATAAACAAAACAAACTTCGAGACAGAGGCGAAAAAGCATTTCTTAAACACAAGGGACAGAACACCACAAATTATCTGCAAAAAGCAAATATAAAATTAAAAAACATTTGAAAACATTGCCGTCTTCTTGAATCGAACATACGCCCTTCAAACACAGAGCCTTATTTTCGAAAAACTGTTCCAACAACGATTGATATTGTCAAACATTATCCATCAAAAAATTGGATAAAACGCATGCTATTAAATTGCTATGCAATATAGCAAAACCCCGTAAATTAACCGGATAAATAAAATCCAAATATGCTGCAAAATCTCTGTCTTTTGGTTGGCAAAAACAGAGCTGAAAAGAGAAATTGCGATGATTTAGTGATTGTAATCGACAGTGTTAGCTTCGAAAAAAACTATGCTCTGATTTGATAAAAAAACACAAGTTTAACACAAGGCGAAGCTTCGCGAACACCAGCGAGAACACGACAAAAAGCAGCTCTAGAAAATACAATAAGAAAAAATAGAAATAAGCCTCAAATCAGCAAAAATTCGGTTGGGTCTAGGTTTCGATCTGCGACCTATTGAAATCAAGACATCTTGAGTCTCACAAACCAACCACGCAAGCTTAAACACCGACAAACACTAGTCACGAATAAAGCAGCTACATATGCCAATAAACTGCCAATGCAATTCAGCAAAAATGGCACCAATTACAAATAAACACAACTTTGCAAGTAATAATTTGAAATATAACAAACTGAAGGCATCCACACTAACTTGGATGTGGAGCAAAGCATAAAACCACGTTATATATAAAATATATACATTTCAAAAGTTTGCTATATTTATTTAAATGGAATATTTCTGCTATCGAGTTTTCATTATTATGCTGTTTGAAACAAACAGCTTTTTCGGTTCATTTGATGAATTAAAAATGCATCAACTGTGTTAATTTATTAACATTCGAATTTCAAAGCACATGCTATCAAAAAGCTGTTAAGGTGCCCGAAAAGTAGCACCAAAATTTGCGACTTAGGTTAGAAAAAAAGAAGGCTCTTAATATTACAATAAGCTGACGTTTGTGTAATGACCAGTTTTCGAGAAATTTGATGAAGGCTGAATTTGCTAAAATAATGTTTTATACCAATGAAAGTTCCAAATTAGAACCTCAAATTATCCTGTTAGGTGCCATTTTATGCAAAGAAACAAAATATTAATTTGCAATGCTTTTATAATTACGCTAATAGTTTCATCTTTTTTATCCGCGGAAAAACCAAACGTAGCCAAGATAGAGTTGGAAAAGAGTCAATAACGCAAGTAAACAGAAAATTTTTTTAATGCTTTTTGAAATTCAAAATAAACAAAAATTTTGGCTTTGAAGCTCTTTGAATTTCAAAAACAGTTTACGATTGGCATTTTTTTTTGATAAAACAAACCCAATTTCAGAAAACTGTATAATGGATAAAATTTTTACTCAGCTATAAAATCTGAAAAATAAATTTCACTGTCGAAACTAGAATTCGATCAAATTTTTCGTGACCTCCACACTGTTGAACTTCAATGGTAGAGTTTGCCTTCTTTTTCACAACGGAAATGGAAAGAACTTCGAAAAAATCAAAAGTCAAACCGCAAAAAAAAATCTAAAAGTACCGTGATCAAGTTTAAAAAAACCAAAAAATTATCAAGAATTATATAAGAGTCTTCACTCCGTTCATCGACTCCAAAAAGTAACAAAAAGGATATTCTTCTAAAAACTTGCGATACTAATGAAACTTGCGGATGTTAAAAAAATGATCCTGAAAAAAATTATTCCCAACAGATTTGAGGAACAAAAATGATTTATCTTTGTTTCATTATTCTCTTATACACTTATGATTCTCAAGGCTCATTTGAAAAAATCAATTCGGGGAATTTTAAAATTTATTGAGGCTTAAAAAATTGCTATCAAAACAAGATCATTTTTTCCGGATAATTTCAGATAAAAATCTCATTGAACTGCTTTTTTACACTACTAAAACAGAAAAACACGCAACAGTGAAATTTCGTTCAAAAAATCACCAATTAACTTTCACAACCATAAGATGCGAAGTTCCATCTGAGTGATACATAGGTAGATAGATAGATGATGACTAACTAATGGGTTGCTTCATGTCAGCCATGGCGTCGTAGCCCCCACTGAGGATGGAGGAGGGGTTGTGGGACTGGAATCTGCCCTCCTTCACTACCCGCTCACACTGTTGCATGAGGTGTCGGGGGAACACACTCGCATCCACCCCGTAGTCCCGCCATCCGCCAACACCGTCCGCCACTCCTGCATAAATGAATACATTTGTTGACATATATTTGTACTAATACGAGCACATAGATAACCACTTACTCATCATAGACAAAAAATACATTAAAAAACCACTTATCACTCGCGCTCCTCGCTTGGGTTTATACCGTCTTCGAAAATTGAAGTTTCAAATAAACTTCAGCAGAAAACAATTCGCTTCACTGACAAATCATAAGGTAGCAGGTCCTAGTTTCTTTGATAGCACATTCACAGGATACGTAGAGTTGGCTGAGGTTCCTCCTTTCAAATTATTACAGTTACTATTTTGGAATCCCAGAACCATGTTCATTGCAAGAACCATAAATTATTTCCAGTAAACCGAACGGCGATTTTCAGGTTGCTACGGGTACTGAATAACAATAACATTGAGGTTGTTATCGCGAACATGTTTCTAATTTTTATCATATCCCGAGAATAAATGCAATTAATTATTTCGCTCAACCCAACCCAACCCAACTCTTTGATACCTCAAGCTATCTTTTTGGTCCCATCTTTATTCAACACGCTCCTGTATATTCCACAAAAAAACAGAAACATTCATTCAGCGTCTCTTCTTTACTACCCAATTTCTTTGGTATTGCAATACAATTTGCTCGCGCATTCATTTCTTACAAGTTGACCATGGATATGACAGACCTTTGATTGGCAAGAAAGAAGAGCCATACAAACAAAGCGTGTATTTTGGGCTGGTTAAAACTCTTTGGCTTGTTATCTAGCGAACATAAAAGGAACATGTAAAAACGATTTAGAGCACGAGAATTTTGGGATAGGCAAGGCAGCTCAGATTATGTTTTCAACATTCAATCCAACACCACGCAAATATTATATACATTGTCGACCTAAGCCTCCATTTGGAGTAAAAAAGCATCAGAACAGGAAAAAAGGCTTCAGAAATTGCAGTCCACCGGATTGTATTTAAACACTGTTACATGTCTGAGAAAGTAGAGCTGTCTAGCATAGTAGTCCATTTTTGGTACATAAATGATGAAGCTTAAAAAACCTGTCGATAGAACTATTCGTCTGTTTCTAATGCAGATATCGCCAATTGCAATGCAAAGCAGAGCAACTTTCGTAACGCTTTCTCAAGTGAGAATAATCTAAGCAAAAACCGGATTAAGTTAACATCCTCTTCTCCCTCCTTGGGGGAGGATGTTAACTTGGTCCCAATCTATCAGAAAAAGACACGATTCTCGTCCGTGACTGAAAAAGCATTTTATGACCTTTAAATTATGTCAGACACGTCTGAATTAATAGTTTCACACGCATCGGTTGTCTCAAAAATTAGACACACCATCTAATAAAGAAAAACGTAACGGCAGGCTGCCCTACTGTTGATGAAAAACACAGTTAGGGAGGTAATCATTAAATATATATCCCCATTTTGAGATTTCTCTGAGTTTCAGTGAGGCTACTTCTTGATATCAGTTGATATCTATGAGAGATGTCCATGTTGGATTTTTCTAACAAGCCAACTTTTCCGGATGCTACCATAGATTTAGGGACACATTATGAATTTGACACTTAGTCACTATAAATTTCGATTAATAAGTAGGTAAAAAAGAAAAAAGAAGCACTAATATGTGCGTCCTCAGTCTATTTTGAACACAATATGATGACCACACTTCAGAATAAAAATGTCTTGACTCTACTATAGGTTCCAAATCTTGCAAGGAAATTTGTAATCAATCAGCACGTGCCCATTACAGTTATTTTTATTTTTCTGCTTTTTGAAGTTTACAGTAACATAGGAGCAAAACAGTTAATGCGCATCTTCGGGTTTCCACTTGAGTTTCACTTTTCTTCCAAGCATTACCAGCAACCAAAACCTCGCTTTCATAAAGCAATCAAACAAAATTTTTGAAATTGTTTTTGGAACTTGGCCCATATTTTCAGCCTGCGATGTTCTTAACAATTACCCCCTCCCCCTTCAAGAATTTTCGACCAATCAGAATGCAGCAAAATTCGTATTGTAAATCGAACGCTCTTGTGCTAGCTAACTACTTTCATTTACAGAGAGTGGCAATTCTTTAATAGATACCATACGGGGGGCGATTGTTAAGTAGATCCCCAGCCTGCAATATTGACTGGATAATCTTACCCCATGGATTACACGCAAAAAACGGTAAATTCAGGGCAACCAAATTGAATTTTCAAAACACCCCACGCCCAAATTTTTTTGTTGGTTTTGGATCACAACACTAGCAAGGGTTGATTAAGACAGAGGCTAGGTTTTTCATATAGAGGAGACGATTAAAACTCAAGTAGTCGACAATTCACTATTAACAGTCACCATATACCATGGCCACGCCGTTCTCTCTACATATCGCTTCAACTGTCTCTTGTGCTGATTGAGAGCCCAATTGAATTGGGTGATTGATGGGGGGCAAAGTGAGTGTACCTGTGGTGATCTGTCTCGTGGCCCAGTTGGTAACAGTGGGGGTGCAGTTTGGGGGTCACCTGACTGTGAATCTGCTCCCCACAGAAAAGGAGAACCCTTTCGAGAACTACGAGAGCGGGGATGGGGTCGAGCAAGAAGAGACATACGGTGAGAGAACAAAACCCAACTTCACCCACTTTTCAATTTCATTCAGACTCAGCGAATAAACTTCAATTGTTTATGATTTCATCTTATTTCTTAGTCTACATCAAGAAATCTCATCAACAAATGATCAAAACAACATTAAAATATTGTTGTTCTGATGATTTCACAAAGCAGAAAGAAACAATTTTTTAGAATGGATTTTATCAAGCGAATAAACCTAACAGTCGCCGAATGTGATATTAGATGACGGCATTTTCAGTCTCGTCTCTGGTTATAAATAGACACTTCAAGAGTAAAGTTACATTGAAATGCGTGTGAAGAACTTTGACACAGGCGAAGCAGGGCTTCGCACCATTTGCGATGCAACTCAAACACGAAAAAAACGAAGCGGAGGCCACTAAGTCGGAAAAAATCTACATTAAAAAACTATAAATCTACAATCATAGCCAACAGACAGTTGGAAAAGAGTCAGTCAATGAACACAAGGAAAGAGAAACAAATGATTTGTTTTTTGAAACAACTTCAACTTAAAAACTTCAAAAAGAAAAACATGGCCTTTTTGAATTAAAGCTTAAAACTTGTCGAATTTTAAGAACAATTTACTACTGACACATTCTTGATAGAATTAACTCAATTGGAAAAAAAAACTCGACCGACAGCGAAAATTTTTAGCCTGCTGTAAAATCTAAAGACTAAAATCCACTTTCGAACCTAGAAGTCAAATTTCAAAATGAAAATATATGACCTTTTTGAATTAAAGCTTAAGGTTTACAAAAGTGAAATTTAATCTCGAAAAATTTAGGTTTTTCCTTATAAAAAGAAAATTCAAGTATTAAGTACCCAGTAGAAAGCAGGCCTACCAACTTTTATAAAACGAAATATGAACCTGGGACCAAACCTTGAAAAACTTTATATGAACCTAAAAGAGCATAACTTTTAGAAAAACATGGTCAATTAAACCATTTATTTCTTGACAAATATTGAGTCAATGACAACTGCAGACTGTTGATCCAATGTGACCAAAGAAACAGTTCGTTGCTTATGGAGCAGTTCCTTCTTCTTTTCAAGAGCTTCAAGAGCTTTTTTTAGCCGCTTCAATGCTAGAATCAATTTCGTTCAGCTGGTTCTTGAGAGCTAAAGGAGTCATTCGCTTGAAAACATGCAGTTCCTCTCGCAAATCTTCAGCATGCCTCTTTTCCGTGAATTTTCTTTTACATTCGACTCAGTGGATTTCTTATATTCAGAAGCTGCTTGGCGAACTGTCACATAACTCAGCTCGAAAATTGAACGCCTTTTCGAAATCTTCGCGGCTAAAGACTTCCTGAATGATACGCACACTGCCGTATGTTTCTGGCAAAAAACAGTTCTGGTATTGACTCTAAGCGAACTTCAAGCGCGAGAACCCTAATTCGGTGTTCATGTTATGTGGGCAAACTAGCAACACAAACTCACATAAAGATCCCAAAGACTTCCACTATTGCAACAGTGATTTCTCGAAGCACTCTCGCAAGGATAAGTTTCAATTCAAACACAGCTTAGCAGCAGCAAACTGGTCTAGGACATCCACACTCATTAGGCCGAAAAAATTAGCCAATCGGGCAATTTTGGGAGGAGATTCAATCTCCGAAAGCTGCATGAAAACAATATGACAATTCTTAGTCAGAGAGTTGACAAGGAAAGGTTGAAACCTTTTGAGCAAAACTTGTAACTGCAAAGTTTGTTCCATGACACAATCATGGACTGTTTTACATGCTTCTCAAGCGAATACAGAGCCGACTGAACTATAGGAACATTTGAACAGAAAAGTTTTATGTTCACAGGCGGGGCACAACAACTCTGCTACTGTTTTTCTTGTAGAGATCGGTAGCATACTTCTTAGGGTTTATATCCAAAGACAACCCGATAAGTTGTAGAAGTTGACTAGCCACTATCAAAATCAAGGACAGTTGATCATGCAGTCAAACTAGGGCCCTGCAAAGCTTTTGTCAGATTATAAATAGGTTTAACATGAAGAACTGTCTGATCCAAATGGACCCCCAAGTTTTTGAACTTCAGAATATCTTTCAGATGCTGATCGTCACACAATCATCGTACTACAGTTATCAGTCATTGCGTATAGCACTTTGTGAAGTGGAAGGTCGAAAAATCCGAGAGCATCAATAGTTGCATCAAATATAATCTGCGATGACACGAGCTTGAAATCAGAAAGCGATTTGGTATTTGTAGACACATAAGAGTCAGCATTAACATTGACAATTAATTCCATGGTCCTCAAACATCGATTTTTTTCGAACACCGTCCACATAGTAAACAACCCAGAGTTCAACCCTTGTTTTACCATTATAAGATGCTTCGTCGAGATGAATACCGACGAACTTGTCTTTGACTTCAGTTTTCAAAATAGTGCGAGCGTATAGGGCTATTCCGTGAACTGCCACATAGGTTGCTTTCGTCTTTCCACATTTAATATTAGCGTGGCCCGAATCGGGAAACATTTGTTTGTACTTCCCGCTAGCACTGGATGCCGAATCACTGGAAGCGAAAGACTGGCCGTTCACTACATTATCAAGAACATGAATAATAAGCGCTCTCAATCTGAGAAGCTGTTGCTGTCCTAATGTGGGGAGTTGCAGCGCGCGCAGTTACCGCTTTCTTGTGGAGCTGAGTCTCTTCATGTTGCTTTAGATCGAATCGCCCATGTGAAATCCGAAAAACGCGATTATCCAATTTGCATCGGACTTGGTCCTGGTTCTCTGCTTTGGCCCAAGAAAACCCCTCGAGTAGAGCTGATGACACAGTACATTTTCCCATTCTCTGAAAAAAATCAACTTTCGAAAAAACGAAGGTATAAAAAACCTATATAAAATAGACGCACTACGTGTAACTCATTAAAAACAATTAATAACATGAAATATGGACTCTGGCTCAAATATGAAACAAATATGAACCATATGAACTAGTTCAAATAAAATGAACTAGTTGGCAGGCCTGGTAGAAAGCATTCAGCGAATCGTAAACAAGCGAGTCAAATTTTTGTGAAGGAGGAAAATTGGAACAATTTTTACGCTGTAGTCTAGGCAGATATAATATTTTCAATTTTTTGCAACAATAAAGAAACATAGCCAATCGAGGATTGGAAAAGAGTAATAAACACAAGTAAACATTGAATTAAATCAATTTTCAAATTTCAAAGAAAAAATAGATGCCTTTTATGATTGGCACTTTTTAGATAACATTCACCCAATTTGAGTAAACTGGATCATCAAGTAAAGTTCTGATTCCGCTGGAAATCAAAAAATTAAATTCCACTTTCGTAACAGGAAATCGTTCACATTTTTTCGGGCCATTTCCACGTTCATATTTGGAGAGTGCTATTTACGTCACTTTCAGCAGACGAACTTCAATTGAACTCAAAAAATGCATATACACCTAGGTGAATTCATAAATCCATTAATATGTATGAATGCACATCTGTAGTTATTAGAGACTTTTCTGCAGATTTTAAAAACTGTCCTCGAAAAAAAACCAAGAAAAAATCAATACGACCTATAAAAGAGTCTTCACGACGTTCATTACCACTAAAATTTCAAAATCTTCATAAGACGCGTTATATTGCTTTTTGAATAAAAAAAGAAACTCCGAGACCCAACGAAAAATCAAAATAACTTCCAAAATTGTTTTAAAAAAGTTTTAACAAATACAAAATGCACATAAACTTAAATACATTGAAATATTTTCAATTATAGTAGGAAACCAAAGGAAAATTTCGAACTATGACAATCAAACCGACAAACAATTGAGATTTTCCACACGCGGAACAATTTGTTAGCAAAAAAACAGGCTCTGATCGAATTCGAATTAGACACTTGTCTTCACAGCAATTTGCGTTTTCTGTACGCCACATGAGCGGATAAACGCTTTGATTTTGATAAGATATGAACTGAGAATTCAAATGATTCTGTAAAAACAATTGAAAGTCCAAAAAAAGTCTGGACTCCGATTTGATAACGCCAGCTAATCGCAAGCGTAACTAAGCTTTAACTGTTTTAGAAGATTTTAGGATGCTATTATACCATAGTTTAATTGTACCATAGTTTAAACTTTTTCAAAAACCAAAACAAGACTTCACAAATGAAAAAATACAAAGCCGGCATTTCTTGTTTCTGTTTAGAACTTCAAATAAGGAGCCGTAAGTCCCAAAAGACAATCTACAACTTGTTTGGACTCTTTCGACCAGAATTGGGAAACTACGCGAAGACAGTCTCTAAATTACAAATGACACGATACGATTACCCTGGAGGTGCAGTTGGAAATGGATCCAGGACAGTGATGCCATTTAAATAAATTTTAAAGCCTTAATATCAATTTCAAGATGAACATGGTTTTAAAAGATCATTTAGTTAATAATCTAGATTACAAAATCAGTAGCTCAATAGTTAAATTCTGAATTTGATCCTTTCAAGGATTCTGCATTTAAATGAATAAACAAAAAACGGATCATTTGACGGATTCTTTAAAGGAATCTTGAAATGATCATCACTCATCCAGGGACTACAACTATGGCGAGGAATACGAATCACCCATTTTTGGCATCTGGGCAATGGACTCGAAAAAATACAAGTCAGACCAGCCTTTCATGTCCAGAATATTGGCAGCCAGAGCTTTTCTGGGTACTCGTTCAGGATGATTTAGTCTACCCCCAAACATCCTACCGGATTGAGATTTTTTTTACAAAAAAAAAACATTTGCATACGGACATTAATCTAATAAGATTTTCTAAGGAAGCAAAAGTTCAGAAACTTCATTTGCAGTTTAATTCATTCTCCGCGAAAATGGGAAAACTGAATAAGCGTTCAATTCAAATTGAATTCTGAACTGACATCCTAAGGAACGAATACATTCTAAACGAGTACTTGACTGTTTCTGGTCATTTCTAATATTGTTGGTGTGACCATCCTGCTTTTACTGATTCTTCTGCTGGTTCCTTCGTGTAAAAAACGGGAGAAAGCAATACAGGTAATCATCTGGTTCCTTCAATTTCGCAGTGGATCTAATTTGCCTACACATACAAAATTGAAGTTTTAAGTTCAATCATCGCCTTTTTTATACTTAACCGAAAAAAAATCACCCATATTGAATTTTAGAAATAGAAACTGTTTCATTTTTAGTTTCATTTTACACAGAAAAATCAACCTCGGAAAAATATTACATTGAAGTGAAGCTGTTATCGCACAGCTAAAGTATAGCCAATATACAATTGCAAAACCGAATTTGGCTTCTGACTGAGATGTGGTGTTTCAACGTAGGTTCACTCTTTGTTGTTTCGACTAGGTGGTCACAGGTGCTCTCATCATAGTACAGTTCTACACTCTGATGGCAGCAGCATGGCTGTTCTGTGTGTTGCGGATGTTGCAGATGCTACTGCCTGTGGTGCTAGTAGTGGTCGCATTCGGAATCAACAACCTAGGTCGGTCTCTTCGATAACTCTCACATAAATCACAAACTGTTCTCTTTGAAGTAAAGCTGCATTAGAAATTCTAGTTTCACTAACACTGCCATTACTATACCTCGCTGGCAAATAAATTTTAAAAATCATCCATTAAATTTTCGGCGCCATCTTATTATTGCTTTTTTCCTACAATTTCTATGACTTTTAACCTGTCCTTAAAAACGTTAGATAAAAAATGTCTCAAGGGACATTAAATCAACGTTTCTGTTCGAAGCCATTGATATCATCATTGATCAGACCTGACAGTTTATATTTTCTTTCTATGCAAATGATGCGCTTCGCATACTCTCGTTGTTCTGTTTCCACCCAAGTGCAGTATTCCTCACGTGGGTCTCCGTCCACCTCTCAGTTCCCTACATCAGCAGGCGGCGCAGGAAAGTGACTGGGGTGGGGAGGATTTTGCTTATCATGGCCACAATATGTGCCGCTGCTTCGCTCTTACTCAACATCGCATGGGTATTCCTCAAGTCGCCCAACTTCACCAAGAGTGGAGCCAAAAGCAAGTATTAAGCAAGGTTACAATTGTACACCACTCTTTTATTTGAGAAAACCTTTGTTTTCTACTGCAATTCTTGAAAGACAAACCAGAAATTAAGTGTCCAAGTTGACTGAAGGGATGGACATGCAAATAGTCAGTTGCATGTTGTGGTTTGTTTTAGATGCGCCTACAGGATATGTGAACATGGCAGAGTCCATCAAGAGGGAGGGCCTGGTGGCAGAAGCTAACGTGGCCACTATCATGTTCTACATCCAGATAGTCGCAAATTTAGGCTAGTTACATTCACACTTTCAGCAATGCTTGGAAAAGCCTCATTATTTGGAAACTTAGCGGATGAATCTTGCTTCCCAATTGCAACGGATTACATTTCAGAAACTGTAGTTTATATTACCACATTAGTTCAATACGCCATTCAAGAATGCGATCCCTTCTCTGTTATTACAGTTTATGTTTAGGTCTTTTCCTTGCACTCTTTGTGTCCATGATGATCCGTGGTCCAGTTCCTATCCAGAGGTGTCTGTTGGCAGCTGTAGTCATGGGTTTCATGGCTCTCTACTGCTGTCTGGTAGTAGATTGGATGTCATTTTCAATCAAAACTACTACTGTTGGTTTCATCGCGTACAAAGGTGCAATAGAAATGTCCCTTGTAAACGTTTATTCGACCATTTAAGCGATAGACTGTTACTCTGGCAATAAAGACATTGGTTTCAAGTATCGTTAGACTAAAAAATATATATATTAGATGCTAAACGAGTTAAACAAAAGAATTAAAGGGTCATTTCTCAAGCTAGCCACAAGTACAAAATCCTCTTGGTCGAGATTGTCAAATTCGCTTTTCTCAACATTTCTTTACTGTTCGTTTTTGGAGCATGCCTGGATTTCGAGGCGGACCTGGAACCACCCGAGCCCGAGCCACCGCCTTCACCACCACCTCCCCCTTCTCGCTCACCCGAGCGAAGGAGGACTAGAGACAGACGAGAGGATGTTGAAAGACGTCGGCAAAGACCGCAGTCATGAGACTACATCCTCCCGGATATTTAAATCGAAACAAAACTACGACGAAAAATAGATTATCTTCTAACTTTATCTAATTGCGGCAAATTTAAGCATCATTTTCAAAAGCTCCAATGGCTTTTATCACATCACTTAAAAAAGCATAATTTTACCAGGATTACGGCATCTGAAAGAATATGCAGCAAAGCAGCTCAAAAAAGATTAATCGCATTTGGCGAAGAATTAAATATTGGTTAAGAACTCTACTTTCCCACACTTGAAGATTTAAATGAACTATTTGCATACTCGAATGATGTCTCATTCAACAAACACTGAAAGCTCTAGGAGTTGAACTCCTTGTGGCATATCCAGGAAGAATTTTCATAACTAATTCGGATTATCATTAAACAACATGCAATCGGATCATCTTACCAATCACTTGCGTCGTATCATAGTCAGCAACGAACCAAGCATCATCACCAAAAATTCCGTCTTGTGTGTGATGCAAAATGAATCCAGTAGATGGTACCATTGTAAGGGGACTGCTTGTCCCCAATTTCTGAGTAGCGCATCCCGAAGCTGTGCTCTAAAACACATATCCCTTGAATTCTAAGACCAATAGTCAAACCTATCCGAGCATGCCAAAAACAACTTACAAGGCCCGGTATCGATGACTTCTTAGGAAACCCACAAGAGGCTGTAATCAAGCGCGCCAAATTTTCTCTTCTTTGTCTTTCCTCTGAATCTTTCAGCTGCTGGCGAAACGATCGAATAAAAGGCCGGCCGAAATGTCCCCCGTAGGCGAATATACTTAGCATTCTCTACGTAACCATAGCGTTTCTGAAGAAAATGGCTTTGAAAAAATGTATAAGAAACAAGAATAGCCGGTAAGTTCCAACTACTAAAAAATAACTAAACATTTTAAAATTTTTTTTCAAGTTAGCGTTGGTTTTTGTTAATCGTGACATAAAAGGATCTGACACAAGTCACAGTGAAAAAAGCAAATCAGGCAATGGTTTTAGTAGAAAAATACATGAAAACAAAAATCAAAAAAAAATTTGATTTTTCATCACGGGGAAATTTTAAAATTCCGTTCGAATCAGGACTAAAAGGGCTTTAAAATGATATATCACTCGACCTGATTCGGTGATTATTTGTTGTACCTGATTTTGCGTGGACACAAAAAAAACTACAACAGACTCCAATACAAAGTTCCTCCCCCATTTTCAACAGTCGGAACAATAAGAAGAGGCGGTTGATATGAGGGCTGGGCCTGTATATTTGAAAAAAAACCATTTATAGTTTAAGCCAAATTGTTGGCAATATCGGTGACCTAGAGCAATTTAATCGGTCAAAATATAATTTTCAAAAAAATGAACACTTTAATTGCAAAATGATAATTAATATTATAAAGCAAGTGTAAGTCACACAATTTTTCTTGGTTAATTGTTTATTTACAAAATAATATAATATTGGTTATAATTTTAACATCAAATAAGTTTACATTGTTTTCATGTTGTTTTTCCATAGGTCGCCATGGAAGGATCTTCACTAAAAATAGATAGAAAATATTCCTTAAATTTAAATTTCATAGTCTTGCAAGTTAAGCTGCTGCTAACTATGTTTGAATTTGCATTTTGAACTTGCTTCCATATTAGAACTGATTTTGCGTGGATAATTCTAGGTTAAATAGTTTTTCTTCAAATTTTTAAAGTAGAAATTATTGAAACAGAGAAATCCGACATCAAAATGAGCATTAAATGAGTTATTAAAATTTGTTCAGACTCGTTGACCGAGAAGGATTTGCCAACAATTTGGCATTAACTATTAAAAAAAACTTGTTGAATGTTATCATTTCCTTGAATACGCTCCTTAACAAATAGGGCAATTTTAACAAATATGACATTCATAACGCACATTTCGCTTAACACCAATCACTATGAACGTCTAGTTCTTTACAATTTTATACAGAGACGAAGCCGAGCTTCGCACAACTTGCGATACAACATAATTGCAGCATATTAAATTAGCCTGAAGAAATGTGCCAGTCGGTCATATCTGGAAGTTTGACCTTGAGGAACACGAAACACGTGGTTTTGGAATGAAGTTTAATTTTTCAAAAATTCGAATGGAGCCTGTCATGTTCAGTTTTATCGCGACAACTGAAAACATCAAATAAAAAAGGAGAAAAACCGAATTACAATTGCGGGAAAGTTGTCAAATAAAAACAGTGGGAAATTGCTATTCGCAATTTCCGTCGTAGAAAACGAGAGTAGAGCTTACTCTGTTTCTCAAGTGTGCTGCTATGTAAGTACCTAATTTAATCTTCCCGAGTGTATTTTATGATAAGTATGTTGAGGTAAGGCGAGTTTTAGGTTCGTCCAACTGAAATGGATCAAAGTTACGCTGTCCAAATAAAAGTAACTTAACGGATTGTTCCGACCCTGTTTTTAACGGCGTTCGTGTATTTTGGGTATTTTGAGACCTAAGTATGGGGACGTTCTTATTTTCTAGAGTGGGGGGGGGGTAATTTGCTAGTGGCCTTTCAGCTGTAACGGGTGCTAGTCTCATGTCGCAAGTGAACCGAATTGGCTCCGACCGTTTTTGAGGTAGAAAAACACAAGAGATAGTGTCCCTGACTCTTGAGCCAATGGTTATAGGGCCTATTTTTCTTAAGCCTCATATGTGACCGAAGTAGGCGACTGTTACATAGTGTTTTTATGGCGCTCCAGGGTGTTTTACGACATCATGACTACGGAGTCGAACCCACTTGACACAGCTCCGGGCTACTTGCCAATTCTAGAGTACCGGTGGTACGGTTCAGCGGGAACGTGTAAACCTTCCCGTTGTACCGCGATAGCTTTTTAAGAAAACTTGAGAAAACTTCCTGGTACGCTCTCTGAACGAGGCTTAGCTAACCGAGTAAGGGGGGGGGGTAACTAGGGGGACAAAAATACGAGCAAAAAAACAAAAAGCGAAACAAAAACAAGAAAAAAGAATACAAAAAGGAACAAAAACCATAAAACAAAAAAGACAGTGACTTTGACACCAGATTAGTTGGATCAAACCTTTATATTAATTAAATAGTATACCCATACTGTTTTATAAGACCGATCGTTTCGATCAACCTAGCAATCTAAACCAGTGACCTCAATAATGTGCCCAAGTGGGAGGCGTTGTTAAGGGTTTTCAGATAGCTTGCAACTTAGCTGGACAACTAGGAGACTTGACTGGAAGAGGCGACCAGCCGAGTAGGAAAGTGGTTCACAAGGATTGAGCCGAACCACTAGGAGACTTGACTGGAAGAGGTGACCAACCGAGTGGGAAAGTGGTTCACAAGGATTGAGCTGAACCGCTAGGAGACTTGACTGGAAGAGGTGACCAGCCAAGTGGGAAGGTGGTGCTGGTGTCAGGTGCAGTGCACGTCAAGGGGACAACCAGCACGGGACCGCTACAACAAGAGGAGGACGCACAGGGGGGTTCTCAAGTTGGACAAACGTGTATCGTTAAAATCCACATTACATTATAGGAAATAAGTGTAAAATTGGATAAGCAGAGCCCCATTGTTTTGAGGAAGTTTTTACTCAAGAAGCAGGCCTGGAAACAGGTCTACGGTTTTTTCTCGAGAAGTTTTGTAACATTCGCCCAAATATCACACAGCGACGGAGCGTAGAAAAAGTACCTATCAACGACTGGCAGGCGTCAGTTACCTTAATTCTACTCGTTTTTCACCGTCTCGACCTTGCCAGTTGATTTTCTGGTCTGTCTAGGGCAAAGTAAAAAGTTACCATTTTTAGGCCATCAGTCAAACGACTTTTGATCAGCTTTCGTTTACATGCGAACACAACCACATAGCTGAGTCTCGGATCCTCAGACTACGTGATTGTCATTAAAAACACGGCTCGAACAACCTATTTTTATATGTTTTTGTGTGACAGCTTTATGTTAAATCCATTGGAGATGGATTGACCCTTTCCTTTTTCTAGCTACTCATGCTCTGAAATATTAAATAATAACGGTGTTAATTAAGATCTAGGACATTACAGCAACTGTTGAAGTTAGTTTACCCAGTCCCTTCACATATAACAGTCTCTGGGGGACCAAGCCTCCGCTCCCGTGATTTTCTTGAGATAACACTCTTATCTCTTATATTTCGTGTCCCGGGAGGGTTCCGTGGTATTTCTCTTCCCCCCACTGAAGCCTCCGTCTCCACAAATATCTGTCGCTAAGGTCCTTATCGTGTGTTTTTGCCACGATAAGAGGCTCCGTGTTTTTCTGTCTCTGATACAACTGTTCTTCACAATCTATATCGTGGTTCTGATCTTCGTCTTTTTTATTCAAAATGGCCGTCTTTTTTCTATTTCTCAGAAATGTTCTTCTTCCAATCGAAATTTTAAAAATAAAAATTCTAGAACATTCTGACCCTCCGTCGCAACACTTTTTTGTTCATAAGGCCTTTAGTCACTTTTTTTTCTGTAGGGGGAAGGTTATGCTGTGTCATCTGGCAGAATGGCACATACTCCCCGGACAAGTCTCCATCAATGTCCCTATTGATCGCATATCACCGGGTTATCGTCAAGTAGTTATCCAGTTTTCAGTAACCAATCTTACAAATTGCATAAGAAATTGAAATTTATCTACTCCAACTCAACTCACTACGTGTTCACAAATGGCATCGTACTACATCTCACTGCCTTTCAACATTTTCACAAAATTTGCAGCATGAGGAGGGTCCTAGATAAAATTTCTTTTCTGACTACTTACGTCATCTCGCCATAAAACTTCTTTTCGCCTCTGATTAAAAAGTGTGACGTGGCACGGCCACGCACCCGTTAAAATTAACTTAACTCCACTCACCAAGTATAATTAGTCATTTATGCGGTCCTTTCAATATTAAAACTAAGAAACTCTGTGGCTAGGAAAGTTATTGAGTTACCCACTCTTCTCGAGCGAATTTACTCAAACTTACCATGTCGCCACACAGTGAATTTGTGTCTTACACAGGTTAAAAACTTCAGTCGGGAATAAATAGGTAAATATACTCACCTATGCTCCTTATATACATACATAGATAGTAGTAACTAAAATCAACAATTTCAACAATTTTAACAATTGCAACATTTTCAAAGTTTGGTCTGACCAAACTAGATCAAAACAAAAAGTTTAACAAGTTCAATAATCAAAACTTGGTTGATTTGTTCAAGTTTTAGCACACAATTACAATCAAGTTTTTCTCTCCTTCTCTTCTTTTCTTTGGTCATCTTCACTCCATCATTTCTCCATCCTGATGTTCAGCGTCACTGTCTTCCAGAACTTTCTCTAACATGTCCAGAGAGTTGCGGGCCGTGCCCCAACCCTCCTGTTCCAACAGCCTCGGTTTGCAACAAGGTAGCAAGTCCACATTCACCTTCTGCTCCCGGTTCCTGCAAAAGCTGTTGTGAAGACACAGGCTCACGTTTCGTTCTAGGTCAGCTCTTAAGACCTCTTTCTTCTCATCTTCAGTAACACAAGGCGTTCCAGCTACCCGCTTCACCGCTGTGGTGACCGCGTTTCTGTGCGTCAAGAATGCTCGTTTATAGGCTCCTGGTCCTATATCTAGCTGGAAAGATTGATAGGCTTCCGTATTCCTTGACATGTGACGCTTCGCGCGTTCATACATCCAAGATGTCATCACTGCACGGAACCAAGGCATCAATCTTTGCCTTGACCATATTCTTTCAATGGCTTTAGGTATTCTCAGAACCTTGCAGGTGGTTCTGAAAAGATCCAATTGACGACTCATTTTAACGTTGCTCAACTGTTCAGGAGTCGGCACGGCCGTCTCCTGCTCACTTGTGTCC